CCCCCCACCCCGCCCCCAGGGCACCTCCGCTAGACCGGCCGTTCACCTTTGCCTCAGGCCACCCCCCCCCCGCAGCCGCTGACCCCCGCAGAGTGTCCCTGTGTGGGGGTTGGGCAGGAAGTCCCCCTCAGCGCCGCCTGCCCGGCCTTTTGGTGCAATCTCTATCCCTTCCCTCTCGCTGCCCCATCTTTCACCATCAGCTCCTCTCGATCCTTGTCTCCTTGCTCCTCTATCTCTGTCCTTGTCTCTGTCCCCAGCTCCAGCCCGGTCTCTGTCCCTATCCTCTTGGCTGTTTCTTCACTGTTTTTTCCTCCCCCAGTCTCTCTCTCTTGCCCGGGAATCTTCATCTGTCAGCTGTTGCTATGCACTGAGGCTGTGGCTGAGGTTGTGGTATGACCAACACCTAGTCAACTAGAGATAGGGACAAAGCAGAGAGATAGAGACAGGCATATACTCTGAGACACCAACACACCCCCCCAGGCATGCACACAGATGCATTCACAAGGGCAAGCCACACCATACAGGTGAGCACACAGGCAGAGTGAAACACATTCATGCAGAGACCAGCACACACTAGAGGCACACTGACACAGACAGACACACTTGGTTTACACATACACAGGAGCACACGGAGAGAGATAGACAATGCACACTTACACCAAGAGACAAGTACACCCAACCAGGTACTCAGAGCCCATTCCAGCTTTCTTGCCTTAGCAGAGAGGCAAACATCCACAGACAGAGATGGACACATACACAGGTGTACATTGGCACTGGCAGTCCTAAAGACAAGCCTAGACATGTGCAAACAGATAGATATAAGGATGTGACAGACACATACACGCAAAGATCAGCAATACTGAGAAGATGAGGCAAACACAGAGACACCCAGAGAGACAGACAGACAGTAGCCAGGAGGCAGGAACCTGGGTGCATGTGGGGCAGAGAGGAGAGGCAGGAAGGAGCAGGAGTGGCCAGGCCCAAGGCTTCAAGGCTCCAAGCAGAATCCTAAGCTCGGGTCCCAAGCCCAGGGGCTGCAGCAGTGGGTGGGGGCAGTGGGCACACCCAGGCCTATGGGTGCCCAGGACAGAAACCCATCACTAGGGTCTTGATCTTCTGGAGTCCTGACCCAGCCCATCTCTCCTTTTGCTGCAATCTCAGACACACACACACACACACACACACACGCACGCACGCACGCACGCACGCACGCACGCACGCACGCCCTTCCCCTTTCTGGGCCTTTGCCTCTGTCCCTGTATCTCTCCATTTATGTATCTGTTTCTCATTCTGTCTATATCGCCTCTGCTCCTGTCTCTTCTCCATCTCTTAGGCCGCCTCTGCCCTCCTTGCCAGGTGGGGAGTTTTCCAGGACAGCCTCCTGGTAGACCCTCTCCTGGCGGATCCTGGAGGGCAGAGGGAGGATGCTGACTGGAGGGGTGTGCGTTCCAAGCCTCAGCAGGGGGCCCCGCTCGCTTTGCCCAGGATCTTGAGGCGACAGGCAGAGAATCAGTGGCTCCCCGGGGGCGCCAGATGCACGGCTGGCAGAGGGAGTGAGGAGGTGGGGCTGGTGGTGGTGTGGTAGGGGGAGCAGGCAGGCGCTGAGGGAGGGAGAGGAGCCGGCTGGAGGAGGGTGGAGGGGGTGTGGCAGAATAGCCTGAGGGAAGGAAGTGAGAGGTTGGGCTGGGGTCCGTCCGCAGGTGCATAATTAGCGTGTTGGGGAGGGAGCTTCTGCTGGGCTTCAGGATGCGCTGCGCGCAGGAGTACGTACGCCACCTGGTGGACAGAGGGGGGCACAAGCCTCCCTCTCAACAATCAACAAGGACGCCCCTTTTCCCTCTCAACAATCAACAAGGACGCCCCTTTTTTTCTCAGCAGGGTCTGGGGCCCTTGGGAGTACGGAGACGGTAGAGGATCTGTGTTGGCTTGGAGGCTGAGGCTGGAAATGGGATCTCAGGGCTGAGAGGGCTCTTGTTTCTACAGGTGCCTAGACCCGTAGCTTCCTCAAAAGAGGAATAGACTGAGGAAGTTGAACTAAGGAGGGAGGGGAAATGAAAGGTAGTGCTCCCCCTTTGGGAGTTAGGTAAGGGTTCCTTGTAGCTGCCCTCTATAAGCTTGTATTTGCTGTGGAGGGGAGAGTGGGGCTCTAATCCTGTCTGTATTGGACAGTGTAAAGCTGTGTGATCTTCTGTAAGAGGCTCTCCTCTCTTGACAGGGGTTGCAGTAAACCTGGGACCCCTTTCATTGCAGCTGTCCTTTCCTGTCCACCCCTGGGATGTCTAAAATGATTCATGAACTGGGTCTGTTGGTGGTCCTTGGGGCATGGCAAACTGGTTTTCCCAGTTCTTCTTCACTCCAGGGTCCCCCTTCTCCTGAATCCAGGGTTCTACTCTTGGCATTTGGTTAATTAGTTTCCATGAAGTGTGAGATGTTAGTGCTTCAAGAGCAACCTCAGGCTGAGAGAGCTGTATAGGACCACCCTGAAGGATTATAAAGCCCTGCACAACCCCAGGGTTTCCATTTCTCATGCTGGGATTTCTCACTGTGGGAGATCATTTTGGGTAGGGGTGGTGGTGTTCCATAAAAGTGACCATGCCCAGAAACAGAGCTTGGAGTTAGTATCCTAGAGCCAGAGGGAAACAAGTTCCAGATGGGTGAAGTCCCTGGCTCAAGGTCACACGCCCAGGAGAAGCAGGTCTTTCTTGTCAAGTCCAGTGCCACCCCCTTCTTCTGTCACAGCGAGATGGCGAGGGAGGGAGTTCCAGGAGAAGGGCCCTGAAGACCAGACTCTTACGCCTGCCTCCAGCACAGACTAGGGCTACCTCTGGTGGTTGAAGCAGGCAAACACAGCCCAGCTCACAGAGGATCGCACTCATAGGTAGACACAAGTGGCATTTTTTTCTTTCTCTTTCTTTCTTTCTTTTTTTTTTTTAAACAATTTTATTTATAACAATATCTGTGTTATTTAGTTGTAAAGGAATTCAGCAAAAATTATTAAAACGTTCATGTCCCCAAAACGGGGTTGCCCACTTACCCTTCCTTGGTGTTCCCCACCTCCTCCTCCTCCTCCTCCCCAGGGGAAGAGAGGCTGGGGGGACTGTTTACCAAAGTCTCCAGCCCTGGAAGCCACCGTGGGGGCACTGGAGAAGGGAGGGCTGTCTGGGAGGGGTATCGAGTATGGCCATCTCAAAAGTGCCCCTAGAATGGGGGCTGGGGCATGGGATGGCCTCCCCAAGAAGAACTAAAAATCTCCATCCTTTCCTTCCTTCCTCAGCCAGAGCCAAATCTTCCAGACAGAGGCCGCGAAGGACTCTCGCTCCCCAGAATTAGCCCTCAGGGAGCTGGGAGGGGTCGGGGGAAGGATGACAGGGGAGAGCCCTGACAAAGTGTCTGGTACAGGGAGGGGAAGGCAGCACCACCAGCTCTCCCAGTGGGGGTGCATTTTGGTGGGCAGGGCCCCCTCATACCTATAAGCCAAAGGAGCCCCCAGAGCCCTGCTGTCCCAGCTCCCTGAAGGCAGCATGGGGGGTGGGGGTGCTGAGGAGCAGGCAGAAGGAAAACGGAAAGAGATAATACTGTGCTCGCTTGCTCACTTGTTCACTCACATATAAAAAGTAATTCCTTCATTTTTACATTTATACATCCCAGCAGGGCTGGGGAGGGCTTGTTGGGTAGAAGTGGGACTCATTGAAGTACTTCTCTGGCAGGGGGCAGGAGGCTCTCTGGGGGAAGTCCGATGGGGCAGGGCCCTATGCCAAAGGGTCTCCTATCTCGTCCTCAGGGCCCCGGCCCAGGAGTTCTCGTTTCTCATCCGTGCTGGCCAGGGAGTGGCGGCTGCCGTGACCACCCATGTAGAGTGTGGCGTACACAGGGTTGGTGAAGTTGGTGGGCTGCAAGGTGACAGAGGGTTCAGGTGTGACTCAGGGTCTGGACTCTATGACCCAGGTACCCTACCCGCACCTCCACTCCATCATCCAACCCAACACCTTTAGTCATCCCATCCACAGCCTCCTGCCCCTGCCCGGGAAGCTACCCCCTCTTTCTTCCCAGCACACCTTGTCAGGGTCCAGGGCAAAGTCAGCATCCAGTAGGCCTCCTACATCATCAGGCTCCCCGCCTTCATACATCTTATAGGTGGGGTTCCCAATCTCCACGTTCATGGCCCCATTGGTCATCCGTTGATGCTGGAAGCCCTTAGCCCTGGGGAGAGGCAGGAGTAGAGGGAGTAGAGATTCCAGGGAGGTAAGGCTAGGGTGGTAAAGTAATGACC